GGAATGATGAGGAATATATAGATGATGATTCTCTAGACGTATTTGAGAATGGTGTTATTACTAAAAAGCAAGATAAAGAACAGCTAATAGATGTTTGTTTTGAAAAAATTATAAATTTGAAACATAAAACATATTTATTCATAAACAGATAAAAGCATAGCTTAAAAATTACTTAAAACAAAGGACTATCGGAAATTATATTACATATAGAACATTGAATTAAAATATATAAAAAATAAAACACATGATCAGAACAAGCACTAAGCACATAATACTAATTATATATTAAAGAAATAATAATTAAAAAAAAAAAAAAAGTGTATATTATATCAGTTGTATTTATAAAATAATTTTATCACAACATAATAACTACTATATATATAAGTATATAATAAACAACCAACAAACGCATTAGAAAAAAAAAAAAACAAAAATATAGTAGAATAAAAAATACTTCAAATAACAGAAATAATTGTAATAAAATTAAAAAGTTAATAAAATAAAATAATAACACAAAATACTAAATGCTAAATGCATAATCATTAACAGTGAACAGTATATTAAACCCTAAATTCTAAAACATAAATCTAAATTCTAATCCCTGAACACTAAACACCCAAAACAAAATCTGAACTGTGAAGCCTAAAATCCATAAACATAAATATCCTGTACACAAAACCTTAAATCATAAACCAGGAATTCTAAGCCCTAAATCCTGAACCATGAACCCTGAAATCTCAATCCAAAACCTGAACCCTAAAGCCTGAAACCCTAACCCTAAACTCTGAACCCTAAACACTGAACCCAAAATAGATTTCGAACATTATTCCTTGCTTAAATCACGAACTAGAACAAAAATAATTATAAATATAATATCCCTAAATTATGATGTAACTATAGATTTATTCATATACACTTTAGAATACATGCAATCAATACAATCAGAACACAAATAACATTTATAGCATAATTTCATATCCTATTACTGAAGAAAATATAGAATCGAACAAGGCATCAATTAATATTAATTTTATGATCATATATATAAATATACTTTTACGGAATAAGAAATAATTTTTGATACATTTTTTATTTATGAATAATATGTATTTGTAAATATTAAGTATGATTATATATAAAATTCATTAAAATATACATTCGAAAAATGATATGAAGTATATACGCTATAAGTATTAATCTAATAATAAATGTCATAAATATTACTAATATTATAAATGTCATATTTATAATAGCTTATTGCATTATAGTATAATTGCAAATAATATTCTGCTCATTTTATAGAAAAATTTTGTTATTATTTACAACAAAAGGAATGAATTCGTTAGATTGATGCAGTAAATATTATATTTTTTTTCCTGACAAATGAATTCATTCATTTTATATGGTATTCATAAATTCAGTTATTGCATAAATTTCATTTCATTACAATTATACCTAATAATATAAATATGCAAGATGTATCATTTAAAATATATTATTATTTTATTTTTTTAAAAATCAATATATGAGAGAAACAACAAAAAAATCATAGCTTATACAATAATGATATCGATCATTTATAAATACTCCTCAAAATCCCCTAAAATGATATAAAATTATAAGGAACTATGAGTTAAAATATGATGTTTAATGTATGACAATAATGTACGTATGATATTAATTAAACTATTACGTATATATATTCGTAAGTTATGTTCTCTAAATATTATTATTTAGGGTAAAAGTATGGATATAAATATTTTTTTTAGTTACTTGAATCTTTTTATATTCCTTTTAAAAAAAATACTTTTGTAACATATTATATAGATATGCACATATTTATTTTTGTTTTTATATTACTCTATATTCATTATTAATTTAGTATATATATGATATTTTAAATATTATTTCATTTTGATATATTATATTTTACTTTTTAATTTTTTATATATATTTTTATTATCCATATGTATTTCATTCATACTGTCTTATATAAAATAATTTGTATTATACGAAATTGATAATTTAAGAAGTAAAAAATAATCTGATATATAATAATGTAAAAAGTAAATTTTTATTCATATTGAAATTATTTTGTTCAAAAAATTTCATAATATTGAACAGAACATTAAATATAACACATAAATATTTATGCGAAAATAGTATCATACATAACACTAAAACAGGAAATTATATAATAAAATTATAATTCTGAAGATGTATAACATTTATACAATACACAATGAAAAACATATATATTTCAAAAAAATATTTATTTAATATTACATTAAAAAAAGAAAAATAATAAATTATACATTCTGAAAAAAATTTTATAGTATAAATCAATTCTGACAAAGCACTTTTTAATATTCTGTATTATGTGTATTATAATTATACATAAATATTTAATTTCATATATTTTTTAATGATTATTAATAGCAATGTAGGGAAATATATATGGCTATGTTGTAATCATTATGACTTAAAAATTATAATATATTTTTTCTTATATGTAATTATATTTACAAATAAAATTGAAATATATATTACTGCTATTATATTAATTTTATTTTGACATCATTTATTAATAATATTCAGAAATATAATTTTTGTTCATATAAGACGCATGGGAAAAAATATGTAATAAAATTAACATAGAGCAAATGCTAACACAGTAACTTCAAATAAAATATGTATTTGATCACATTATAACATAAAATTTATTATTTTTTTAAACAGTTTAATGTGTAAAATAATAAGTAAAAAAAAAACTATAAATATAAAAATTAAAAAAGAGCAACTAATATACAATTATACTGTTGTATAAAATACGTATATATATGTGTTCAAAATATATTTTTTCAATTATTCATATGTGATATTTTTTATACAATTTATTTATCCTTAATATATACTTTAAATGTATATAATTTACATGTATTAAATAATACCAATTTATTATATTTATATTACATTAAATTATTCATACTTATTTTGCATAATACATAGATATAATTCATAAATATTATATATGATTCATCATTTTAAGCTTCTATTATATTTTATATAATAATAATATAATTATTAAAACGTGAACACTAAGCACTACTAATAATAACCATTGAAAATATAATTCAATTTTAATATAATATTTAGAATATACATTACAAATTGTAATTTTATATTTAGTAAAATAATTTACCTATATATCTATATATATTTTTTATTCCTGTCACGTGACATATATAATAATAAATAACTTGAAGTATTCTTATTCTATAACGTTAATTATTTTTTAATTTTGTACATACTACATAAAATATAGAATACAACAATGGCTCCTGATTCCACATATGTATGTAAACGCTTTAAATTACTGCATTAAATTATAAAATATTATAATTTACTTTAATACTTTTTATTTTATGGTGTATAATAAATGTGATTTTTATCAATGAATGCTTATATCATTGAAAATATCATTATAATTTTTTGATTTTCAGAACTTTATGACAAATAGTTTACCTTCACGAAAATTATATGATAAATTAACTCATGGAATTCAATCTGTGTCTAATACAGTCGGCCTCTGCGTTGCCTATGGTGATAATTCTTTATCTAAATACCCTCAAATTAAGGATTTCTGTTCAAAATTACAAAATTATTTAAAGAATGAATACAGATACAGGGAACAATATACTATCAAATATGAGTTCTGCAATTTATTGAGTTACTGGCTGTATGGACAGTTAGTAAATATGTGTAATGAAAACAAATGTGATCCTAAAATTATTTATAAAAAAATTAGCCGTATATTTTCTACGTCTTTTCATTATATTCAAAGTGTATACAATTTTTACAATTGTGAATTAGATCCTTATATAAATTCACACGATGATTGGGAAAAGAGAAAGAAATTATATGATTACTGCCAGGACTGTGAAACGATTAAGGAAATGTACCAAAATAATAAAGAATATTGCGAACGATATAATATCTACCTTCTTGATATAATCAAACTATATGATGATTTTAAGACATCTTGTACCTATAGAAGCGGAACTGAATGCCCAGTAACTTATGACAAATTTTATAAATGCACTCCCGAAAAATTACTACAATATTATAGCTGCCAAGCAGAAGAGGTAGAAGAAGATGAAGATCCAACAGCAGACACATATAAAGAAGACAGTCAAACAGAATTTTCATCACCTGAACAAAATATTCCTATAAATGAACAAAATAATATTTTAAGTTCTAGACTTAAAGCGATATCATCTGATGAACGCAATTTAATGAATTATAATAACAATTCTCTAAAAATATTTGGTAATATCCTTCTAGGAGTAATTGTCACTTCGTTACTTGTGGGTGCTTTATATAAAGTAAATACGGTTTTGTATTATATATATATTATATAAGCGTGCTAATATTATGAGTTATATCACAATATATCATAAATTTATATATTACACATATTTCACATTATCCTTTCCTGTAACAGTTTACAGCCATAGGTAATCAGCTACGAAATACCATTGTATATAGAAAAAATAAAACAAATCATCTAAATAAAGAAAGAAATAAATTACTTAATGATACATCAGAATATCTTAACCCTTATTATGAAGATATGCAAAATTATTATGTATGGTACAGCACTGCGTAACTTTTTTTATTTCTTAATATTTAATAATATGATATAAATTAATTACTATAATATTAAATATACAAATAATGGACCTGGATATATTAGGATTCATATATAAAAAAAACGAAAAATAAATAAAATTATAATATTTCTTACATAGAGAATACATGAATAATTATAAAAAAATATTTATCAGATATGTAATTAATAGAAGAAAATTGTCTAGTTATACATATACATCAGAAAATATATAATTTAAAATTATTTTACTATATTTAATGAACAGGATTTATTTAATGTAAAACCTCAAAAAATATATCTCATTAGAAATTTATTTTCTAATGTTTATTTCATTATTTATTTTTTATTTAATTTATTTTTTTGAATATATAGTTTTTTTCGATGTAGTATTTGTACATATATGTTTAAGTGAATTTTTTTTTCATAATACATAGATTTAATTAATAGCTGAAATTCATTCAGAAAATTGAAGAATTAATGAATATATAATTCTAAAGTTGGATTCATTTTAAATTTTATATAAAATATAAATTCAGGAAAAATTGACGGCAGAATGTATGATTTTAATATAAAACTTGAAAGAATATTATGCATTAATTGTAACATAATAAGTTATTATAACAATTACGCAATGTATTTATTTAAATTACATGATGAATATAACAACAAAAGCAATTTCTTATATAAAACTAATTAATTGTATGTATGCCAATGTTTCATCCTGAAACCTAGTAATGTATTATTAAATAGTAATGCAAATTTTTAATCTACAAGTAATTTTACGCTTATTAAATAAATATATATGTATATGAAAATTTTTATTTATTATTCTCGTGAAAATATGTATAGTATTATTAATAACAATCATAGATATCACAGTTAAAAAAAAGATGCATCAAATATATTTCATATATAATATAGGATATAGCTACATCTCAAAGTATCATATAATGAACCATAATACAAAATTTTCAAGCTTCATAATAAGCACAAATTTTACTGTGCAATAAATATATTTCACAATAATAGATGAAATAAATTTAAGTAATATATGAATAATACATCTCACATCGATCGTAGCAGAGGAGAATGAACTAATAATGATTTTCATTAATAAACATATTAAAAAAATTATGAAGCTTTATAAAATTTAGCATATTTTGAGTTTTGCATTATATGGTTAAAAAAAAAAAATTATTTGTAATATATACCTTTTTTTTTATGCGCATATTTCCATTATGCTAACATATTATATAGTATAAAAGACACATAGCATAGAATACATCATAATATATATTTCCCTAGTACTCATAAAATAGCTTCTGTATATATATAAATCCCTATATGTATTCAAAAAATATAGCTAACACTCTTAACATCATTCTTTAATAAGATAACTGAAACGAGTAAATGAAACATATAAAATTAGACAAAAAAAAGAAATGGCATTTTTTAATTAATAACTTTTAAAATATTCATATATTTTTTCTAATACAGTAATGTAATGTACAAAACAAATTTTAAGTATATTAAAAAATCCTAAATATTAATGAATTACAAATATATTGAGATTTCTCCTATATATACATGTGTAAACTAAGATTTTTGAAGAAAGATAATAATGAGAAGGAATATTTTAAAAAATATAGATTATCCTAATTTTATAACAAATGGTTACATATAAATGAACTTTTTGAATATTTTCATAGTTAAATATGATCAAACCTTCGAAAAATACATGAAATTAAAATATTCCATAAAATTTTACAAAAAAGAGGCGATATATTGTTATAATTTTTTTTATATATGATATAAATTAAAAAGGAAAAAAGTGTACATGAAAAATAAAAGGTACATATTAATTTTATCTTACGTATTTCTATTTGTAACTTAAACGTATGACACTATTTTCTTGATTTCATGTATGCAATAAACACATATATGGCATTTACATTGTATCAATACTTCTTATAATTGTATAAATTAATTTATGTTACATCTTATTCTGTTAAAATAAAAGTACTTAATTGTACAATTAAAAATTATGCACTATTTTACCTCATTACAACTTTTTGTGTTAATAAACCAGCAAGAAATATTGAATTATAATATGCAATGGAGACCATTATATTATTGCTCTTATTGTTTTGAAATTTTAATATTTCCATTTAAAAATTCAAAAATGTACATTTTCTTTTAGCATTTAATAGATACATTAAACTACATCATCTATTGACATATGTGAATAGGAGTTAAATGCAGAGAATGTAATATAAGTACCCAAAAATTAATTCTGAAGAAGTATCTTTTATTTTGGAAGAATAAAAGTAAAATAAAATTATTTTTATGAATCAGTTTATTCATTATTCTTCATATATAAATTTTTTCTAACATTAATAATATTATATAGCAACGTTATTTTTATGAATATTTAATTGACTCATTGTGCACTAATTCTAAGCATGACATTGTTCATAATTCTTATATAAAGGAACTATTATTTTATTTATTATTTCATATGAATAATAAAAATTTCCCTCCCCATATATATGAATTTAATATGCACAATTTCATTTTTGTCTTAATAAAATTAAAATTTTTTGAGATACTAATAAATATAACAATTTCACAATAATATTAGTGATTTGTGAAAAAATATAAATTCTTTCTAATATTTCATAATTACGAAATATACCTTCTTTAACAAATATTATACTAATTATGAATACAGCATAAATATTTTAGTAATAAATATAACACTAATTATCACTTAAAATAATTAATTTTATAAATAAATTATAATTTTTTACAAGTTATAATTTACATAAATAAAAACGTAACTTTTAATAATATTTATCAGAATTTAATTATTAATTATTTAAAAAATAATAAGATCGTAATTTTTATTTTTAAAATAGTTATATAAAAATTTAAAATACATTTTATATAAATCATTACTATTTTTTCTAAACATATTTCGCTGTTATGTAATCATACAGTGCACATTATATATTAAATGATCAATTTAAATTAAATATTAAATAATTCTAAAGGATAATAAATATTTTAGTGCACAAATTGATAATAATATTTCTTATCTAATGAATATTATATTTCATTTATCCTATGTAATAAGTCTATTATGTTTTCATTATTCCATATTAAAAACAAACATAATTAATAAAGATTGAATATATTTTTAAATGATTTAATGTATATAAATTAAAAATATATATACATATAATATGGTATAAACTGTGATTTATTCTAGAATTGTCTTGAATTAGTAATAAAGTATAAATAATATAAAAAATTATGTGGATTATAAAATGATTTGTTATTATTATAATAAGACATCATAACATTGAGAAAAATATATAATTAGACATTTTAACCTTGCATACACATTATATATAACCAAAATTGTAATATTGTGTAAATTTTACTATAATAATATTTTGACAAAATAAAATTATTCGTAATCATATATGTGTAGTATAAATATGTACATTTATGTAAAATATAAAATTATATTTTATCTCAGTATCATATACATAGGTATATATCATTTAAAAATTAATTCATATCATCCTTCAAGAGTAAATTAAATTCTTGTAATATTTAAAAATACATGATGACGAATAAATAATTTTTTACAAAATAAAATTAAAATTGCTACAACATTAACCACAACTTAATCCTTCATAAAGATTCTTTTATTCTTTCTATGTTATGTTTTACGATTAAGAATATAACGAAATATTCTTATTTAATCATGTGTGTATTTAGTTATATAATATATATTTTTCAACAAAGTACATCGGAAAATCGTGGCATTTATTATAACCTTTTTTTTTGGTGTTATTTTCAAACAAAAAGTTATTGAAATGTAAGTATGATAGATAAGTTATCGTGCTATATTTACCCACAATTTTACTATAATACGTGAAAAAATGAAAAATATATAACACTTATTTCAATGTAGAAAAAAATATTCCCATACAGATATAATTATAATATACAAAAGATTCTTTGTTATATAAGATTTCATGTATTATATATTTTTTTATTTATTAAATATCTTTAAAAAATTATGCTGTATGTGCTGAATTTATTAAATATTAAATATTAAAAATTATTTATTGTACACATCTTTTTATTTTAAAATATAGGACAGTGATTAAAATGGTATTTATCCCAATATAATACATTAATTATTTTTCCATATTAGATAATATGTAACATCTTGTAGACAAAAAATGAATGCATAAAACTAAGTTCCCATATACTTTGTGAGACATATTAATTATATATTTATTATTAAAAAAATATCCTTGTGATAAATATTGTTCGTTTTATATAAATTACCTTATTATCATTTAAGCATCTAATCTAAATTATTGATTTTCCTTTATTATAACGTATTAATCTTGAATCTAACATCTACAAGGAAAATTATTATTTAAAAATATCAACTAATATTAAAAATATAATGAAACATAACTTATAAACTATTATTCAAGAAAGTAAGTAATTTATTCAATAAAACCCTTATATTATTACATATACTAACATATGTATTTATAAATTCTGAGCTTAATTATTATATGTTTTATGATAAATATGATATGTTTTATAATTATTAGTTATGCAAAATTATTTGATTTTTTTCCAAATAAGTATACCTTATTTACAAGTTATTAAATATAAATATATGCACGTATATACCAAGACTTTATTACATGTTATTGCAACACATTATTTGGAATGTTATATGTCCATTTGTCATATTGTTATTTCTATCTCAATATATAAACAAATTTATGTTTATTTAATTCTAACACATGATTTCATATATTCTAATCTTGATAATATATAAAGGACACAATCCACTTGTCTATTTTCTCTTAATTTATTTAAAAATGCACAAATTGAATCATGTCTTTCTACTCCATTAAGGAAACATGACTAAAGTTATGCTGGGTATTGATGAGAAT